ATATATATATATATATATATATATTTATATATGTGTATAGTTTAATGTCTTGGGATGGCTAATTTAAACAACTCAACTAGTTTAAATTTAACATTTTTTTAATTGTTTTAATCTCGTTTTTAAAAGATATTAAATAAAACTTTACTGTTGCGTTGTTTTGAAGAATGTTTTATATTTCTAAAAGGATGTTATGATGTCAGATTTATTAAGTGCAGTAAAAAGTAAAATACTTTCCTCTGAGATGTAGTAGAAGTAGAAGTAGAATAGAACGGGAAAACTCAAGTGAGGTACAAGTACCTTGAAACTGAATTCGGTTACATCAATAGATGAGGTTTAAACTTTAGATACAGCAAAGACAAATTAATGTGTAATTTATTTTAAATGACATAAAGCTCCGTCTTTGTGATTCAGAAGAAGAATGAAACTAAATCTATTGTTTGAATCCTGTTTTTGTAGAATAAAGCTTTAACGTCTGAATGCTTCCGAGGAGAACAAGCTAAATTTGGCGAGCGGGGATTAAAGACAAGTGTGAAGTGAAGACAGAGACTGAAGTCGGCAGCCGGCTGCAGATTAGAACCACGTTATTCCTCCGAACCCCCCCGGTGCTGACAGGAGGATAAACACTGACGGGTCCACTTTCAGGTTCGAGCCTTGTAGTGGTGTTGCCTTTCAGAGAGACCCGTCACCGGCGTACATCAGCGGGCTGAACCCACACTAAACAAAGCTCAAGAAGAATAAGGGTCGGACCAATAAAAGAAACCTAAAACTTTTAACTTTTTAAAATTGTGTCAACATAAAAAAGTATGTTAAGTCAGCGAATGCCAATTAAACGTCAACTATTGATGCAAATTGCTAAAACACTCCGAAAGAATTCCCCAAAACATCAAACATCTGCATTGTCCCGTTGCTATCGAACACCTTGATCAAAGAACAGACAAACGTCACATTTATGATGTTTCTTTCACGGACAGAATGAGATTTTGGATAAACAAAACATAAATTCCTAACAACCGTACCGACCAGATGAAGCATCTGTTCGCCTGCTGTCCTGCAAAAGAATGTGCAAACAAACAAGAGAGAAAGAGTCCTTACTGTAGACCAGGCGGAGGGTTCAGCTCGTTAGACCGAGTCCCGACCGGACCGAGAGTTAAGAAGCTATATATTGCAATCTGTGATAGTCCTCTAAATCCTCCACTTTCTCTTTATGGAAGCGGATTACTGGTCAAACCAATGGGCTGGCAAGGTCATGAAATACAGTACAGTGTCATCTGGCCCCTCATTATAAATAACCCGCCCTTTAAGATTGTTATCTGTATTATCTCGTTTCATCCGGCTTCTCACGGAGACAACGCAGGAAAGTGATTAAACCGCAGAGGCATTTTCTAATCAACGGCTAATAATATTAAGTGTAAATTAAAGTTGCTGCCACAGAGCTCGACTGTGTCCAGTCACACGTGTGAGAGGACGACTCTGTGTCTGAAGGATGCTTTTATTTTGTAGAAAGTCTCTTCACTAATAGATGTTATTTAGTTCAGTAGATGGAGAACAAAACTCTGTTCAACGGTTCAACTGAAATAAACAAAGATCCTCTGATCAACAGCTGAATAAGAAGAGAAGAAATCAGCAGGTAAAAGAAACAGGAAGCTGAGATTTAAACATGAACAACTTCCTGTTTCAGTGTTAAGAGTTTCACAATAAAAGCAGCGTAGAACAAGGTGGAATCAACAATTAACTTTAGACTTCACAATATAAACAGAAGGTTAGTCTAGAGTTACTGGTGGAACATCAGCTGATCTAATCACAGTTTAAACCTCTTTAATCCATATTTACTGATCAATAATGAAACTAGTTCATCATTATTCTGTCATGTGACTCTGTGAGGAAGTTTAGATCGTTTCATTTAAACTAGTTCACATGTGAATAAAACATCTGGTGTCTGAATTATACAGTAACATCGGTTAGAATAATAATTATTCCACCGACATCAGTTTGTTTGAATTTCAAACTGTTTTAAAGACGTTGAAGTGTGAAAGCCGATAATAACACTTCAGTCTCACTAATTTCTATACTGACACAAAACAAGAAATGAAATCAATGTTTGTCCCGGTATTTAAATCAAAACAGCTTCCAAACCTTAAGGTTTTCGGTCTTGAAGCAAACCCTTTTCATTATATGTGGATTATGGATTATGTCTTTAATATGAAGTTGAACTCACTGTGTTGCTGTTGTCGCAGCGCGGCGGCTCTGAAAGAGAGGAAAACTTAAGGTAATCATTGAGTTAAAGTTGTTCACAAATACATTAATAAACACTTATATGTCCTTATATCTATATTATTATTATGTTCGATAATAATATAATGTACAAATATACATTTTTATACTTATGAATGGTAAAAAAGGGGGTTCAAATAAACTGTTGAGACAAAAGTTGAAAATCAATCAAAACAACATAAATACAATTATTTAAAAAAGAGTTACTGACCTCAGATCTGTTTCTCTTTGTGTGGTCCGATCAGTTTGGTGTTTTAAAGTCAGCATGAGGAAGATGAATATACTTCACAGAGTTCCTTTCAGGGTACAAATGTTTTTATATGACATTATTTGGAGTCATATATCTCACGTCAATGACGTGTTGAAGATGACACCGTGAGAGGATTTACACGTCATAAATCAGCAACAACCGAGGAACTTTAACTCGGAGTCGGATTATGTTCACTGCTTTTTAACGCTCTCACGACTCATTAACTTACTTCCACCTGTTCTATCGATCATGAGCATTACAATTCAATACATACAAATCAAATTCAACATATACATACTTGTATAATTGTTTTTATATAACAATTATTACATTTGTAGTGCATGTATATTGAATATCAATTTAAATTCACAAAATTGAGTTTAAATTAGTGCCATCGAAGGGCAGCGAACTATTACCCATGAAACCTCCACACATTCATTGATATTATGTCTAATATTATTTAATAATTGTTCTTTCATGGCACATAAAAAGCTATCGTGTAGTTATTGTAAAACAAAACAACTTCTAAGGGCGACTACTTTCCCTCAACGATACTGTTGTCAGAGGAGCCTCCGCCTCCGATTTAGCTGGTAGCTAACGTTAGCTAACGTTAATTTTGAATACTTATATAATATGCTTAAGATTTAACTTGGAGATTCAACGTACTCTTAATGTGGGATGTAATATAATAATGATTTAATTATTATTAATTGTACGAACACCTAAGTTACTATTTCATGTGTTAGCGTATCAAGGTCCAGCTAGCTAGTTTCCTTAAAGGTGCTAAATACGAAATTCAGAGCATATCTCATTGACTCCATAAGGCTCTCAACATGGAGACAGCTCAGCCGGCGGCTCATAGCTAACGGTGCTAATTTCTGATTTCTGTCTTAATATTTTGATTCCAGTTGTCAAATTTTGGGTTTTTACGACAAATAAGCACGACTAAAAAGGGCTCCTTCAGTTTGTTTATTCAGTCAAACAGTTAGTTTATTAATAATTCATATATTTGTGCTATCTAAACGGTCAATAAAAAAACAGAGACTTAAGATTCTGCAGCTTTGTTACGGGCTGATTTAAGCCTCGGTCTCAAACATCTTCTTCCTCCCGTCCATGCCGGCTTTGTCTTCAATGTTTTTACGCCAGTCACCGACGTCTCGCAGCTCTTTATCCTGAAACACCACAGACCCAAAATCAGAGCTGGACCACGAGGGTTTATCAAAGTTTCAGATAATGGTCTGAAAAAAACCCTGGTTCAGCAGTCCTACCTTACTTTAGACTGAAGGACTAGTTAGGTTCAGCTTGACTCCATCTTTTTAACGATAATTGTTTAAATCTGCTGTATAATATCTATATAGTTACTGTTAGGGAAGGTTGGTGGAACATAAAAGGCCACTTGTGAGGACTTTCTCAGAAATATATTTCATTCAGAAAAGTTAAACTAGTGTTAAAGGCATTAAAACAGGTCTACCACTCTACAGTGTGTGGAACCTTCTCTGGAGACGTTTCTGAGATTGAAGGTATAATAAATGTGATTTTTAGTTCCCACAATGTCTAGAAAACATCAAATCCAGAGTGTAAGAAGTTACAAAGATCAATCACATCATTGGAGGAAGAATTCATCTAATCCGGACGGTTCAAACATTAGATTAAAATAAGACAATGGAATGAACTCTGCAGGTTTCTCGAGAAAACTGTTTCCATCCACTGCTGTGAGTTGCTGCTAATTCTCCAGAGAAGCTCAAACTATGTAAAACCATGTGGACATGATGGAAATATGACATTTCTGTTTCCGGTATTAATGTGAGGAAGGTTTCGGTCTCCTCATCGCTCCACACACATCTCACGTTTTCAGCTCTAAGTCTCAGTAAATACGATATTTTTATGAAACGAGGCCACTTCCTCACCTCCTCCTTGACCTCCTTCTTGACCTGCTTCAGGTTGGCCCTCAGCTCCATGTTCACCGTGTGCTTGGAGCCCAGCAGAGCCTTCAGCATGGCGTCGGCCGACATGCGTACTTTCCTCAGGACGGGCTTCTTGAACTTACCCATCAGGTCCTGAACTTTGATTTTCAGGTCGTCGATCTGGAAGGTGGAAACAGAGAGGCCACGACGGATGAAGAGTTGAGTCTGGATTTACTACAAACGCCTTAAACACGCTACAAAATGACATTTACAACCTAGAACAGCCGAGAAAAAACTAAACTCTCAATACTTTCAACCTTCTTTGGGCCGTGAAGTTTTTTTAGATTCCATTTACTACAATTTAAGCAATTCTCAAACATAGATGATGGTCCTTTCTGCCTTTGTTTCATGCCAGTGGCAGCAAAGGATTTAATTACACTACAAAATGAACAGTTCTGAAAGCCTCACCAGTTAAAAATGGAGATAAAGATGTAAAATGTGGAGACTCTAAAACCTCCACACTGTGTAAAAATAAAGTTACGACAATGTTTGGGAGCCAAGCAGGAGTTTGAAGGTTCTGCAGGGGGTTACATGTTGAATAATTCTACCTCCTTGTTGGCTTTATTAACTTTCATATCCAGGTCGTATCGCTCCTCGTCCATCACGTCGATCTTGTGGTGGAACTCCCGGCAAAGCTCCTGAACACAAACAGCAGCAAGATAGTCACGATGACAGAACGACGCACCGTGGACCAGAAACATCCCGTGTTCCCTCAAATCAAAGGCCAGTTCATTCTATTATGAACGTCTTCAACACCACATACATGTCTGTATTAACACATCGACCTACTGAAGCTAAGGACTCTGTAACTGCATGTTCTATGGAGGAATAAATACTGTAAATAATCTGCCGATATAAACTGTTCACTGATGATACTGAGCTCAGAACTGACTGCATGAGCCCAGTACCACGGTACTCACCAAGTGCAATCTATTGCTTTTGTGTACAGGGACACAAAATCTGTTTTTAAAACCTGACTGTTGGTTTTGTTGGCTTAACGACGTAATATCGTCCCTGAAAAAAAGTTGCAATAGATGACAATAGACTCCATGTCTTTCTTCAGGACGTACCTGCAGCTCCTGCATGCTCCTCGGCATGGACACAGGAGGACAGGTCTCTGCCATGTACCGGCCCCTCTCCTCCTCTTGCTCCTTCTCCTCCTCCTCCAGTAAACCTTTGGCGATGGACAGCATCAGACTCTGCCCGACAACAGCAACACAACATCAGATATGACTCAACATCAACAGGAGTGAATGTAAAGACATTTTTGCCAGTTGTTGTAAACCAAAAAAGTGACTTTTACATTTTTTGTTATTTTGAATTTGTTTTGTACAACACTGTATAAAATTTCAAATAGAGATATTTTACCTTCAGATGATGCTTGCGACTCGACGACATCTTTTTCCTAAAGGGTTTGAGAGGTAAAAAATATATGAATATATAACAAAATATATACAATTTCTAAAGTTTAAAATTTAGAATTTACAAGAAAACACTTTCTCTGAGATTAAAGTCACATATTTACATATTAAATAAATAAATATATTTACGGCAACTGTGGTTGTGTGTTGTTCCTGCAGTAGATGACTTCATCAGATTATACTTTGCAATCAGATTTATCAATAAGGAAATGCTCTTGATTTGATCCCCAAATCACCAAATTATCATAAACATCTGGACTTTGAAGAGACATTGTTGTGTATTGTCTTCAGAAGAAACATGATTTTAATTTTTGTTCTCATAGAATTTGTAAATTCTTTCTCGTTAATTTACCATTTTAATCTCAGAAATTCTAATTGTTTTCTCTGAGTATTACCCCCCCCCCCACCCTGTTTATTTTTTTACCTACAATGTCCCTGATATAAAATAATATTAATTTTAAATTCATTATAAACACGGTATGCAAAGACAAAGGTGACTTGATTTTAGAAATAAGCTGAAATTAACTAATTTTGACTGGAAACGACTGCAGTACGGTTTTAGGAAATGTTTCTGTTACATTTCTATAATCCTGTTTTAAATACAATATATGGTTCTTCTGATTGGACAATATAGATTACTTAATACGTTTGACTTTAGTGTTATTGGTCCAAATTAAAATATATACGTGAACATAGAGATGAATGAGACCCAGAATTACTCACTCCGACATCTTGGCGTTTTTGGCTTCAAAGCCTGCAGAAAAACACAAGTTTCCATTTGAAATGGTTTATTAGTATTCAAGAAAAGTATTTGAAGATCACAGAAAAGTCATTAAGTATGAGGCGGACAGGTGACACAAAGAGATGGGAATAGGAAACGGGGTGAAGGCGGGGTCAGACTCAGAAATAATAACTCTACTTAGAGGAAACGGGACACCAACAGGCAGCTCCAGCCGAGGGAAAGACCTTGAGTCTAAATCAGGACAAGGATCTGGGGTCCAGTTGTCCCCTCCTGGGCATCCTAGTCATGAAAGGTCTGTCTTCTGGAAGATTATCAGGAAACACTCGACACCTCCTCTGTCGGTGCAAACGTCTCCGCAAATAGAGACCGTGCAGAACAATCCAGATAAACAACAACTGCATCCAAACGGAAAGCTAAATCTTTGCCGAAATGTCTAAAATACATCACAACAATGATTTATCCACTAATGCTGCATTCACACGGCAACCTCCGGTTCTGCTGGGTGAAGTCAGAGCTTCATGTGTTACAGCTGCATTCTCTCTAGTGTCCACCAGGGGGCGACTCCTCTGGTTGTATAGAAGTCTATGAGAAAATGACTCTACTTCTCTGGACCACAGCTACAGACAAAAGAGCCGAGAGACAAGACGTTCTGTGCAGACTTCTGAGAGTTCAGTAACATCACCAAACAAACCAGAATACACATTTCTGACTTCAGCGCACAGTTTCAGCCTCCTTTGATGATCTGATTCTTCTTCAGTTCAGCCTCCTGTGATGATCTGATTCTTCTTCAGTTCAGCCTCCTGTGATGATCTGATTCTTCTTCAGTTCAGCCTCCTGTGATGATCCGATTCTTCTTCAGCAGGAAGACTTTCTTGAGGAACATAATGAATGCTGGAATATTATGACCTGAAATGACTGAAGCTCCAAAATAAAAACATTTAAATCATTTGTTGGCGTCAATCCTCAACCTGTGACACATTTAGCTGTTACTCAAACTATGACATCATTAAAGTCTTGTTGCTTCTACAAATACAAAATGGGATGGGATGTTTTTATTGCAGAATGATGAGATGACATTTATCCAAATTCTGCAAAATACATCCATTAGTTGTGTTGTACCTTGAGACCAGGAGCTCATGTGTAGATTTGTACTACGTTTACATTATTAACCATGTGTGTATGTATTTGTAAGTTTACTCCAAGCATTTCTTTATTTTATATTTCCTTGGAGAGATTTTTGATCAGTGAATGAGCATAACTGGATCAAACATGAAGCCAAAATGAAACGAAGCTGTCAGATGAATAACCGAGTCATTCTGAGCTCTGACATATTAAAATGTATTCAAACACATTAATAAACACTCAGACTATCGCTTCACAACTCCAGAGTCCATTTACACAAACACACCTCATCACACCTGCAGCATCGACCCGCTCAACCCAACATATGAACCCCACGAACAACCAACACCTCCTCAGTGGACTTCTCCACCTCCACCTCCATCACCCGACAGCAACAGTTCCTAACCAGCTGCTTTGCGTGTACATTCTAAAACGTTAGTTTCGACAGGAGCTCAACGACAACAACCAAAAACTCATATTTACAGAACTGCGTGATGACAGAGCCACAAAGCTCGTCTATGAAGCATCTTTTGTTCAAAAAAACAATCGGCAGCAAAAGAAAAAAGATTTCTCACCTTTTTGGTTCGTAGACGGAAGCAGAAGATTGAAGAAGCAGCTCGGTGTCGGCCACTAGCAGTTGGTATATATTGCATTCCCCGAAGGAAAAGGAAACCCCATCTTTCTCTTTATGGAAGTGGATTTCCTCTCAGACCAATGGGCTCACCACAACCTGACATCTTATATCCCCCCCCCCCCCCCCACCCCCCCACATCTCCTTCCTATCTGACCATTATAAATAACCCTTTCTTAGATTGTTCCACTGATTGCATTATTCCTCCCGACCCCCCAAAAGGAAGCTGCTCATGAGCCAAAGAAAACAAAGAGAAGTGGGAGGAGGAGATCAAGAAGATACGACTAGATGAAGAGATTATGATTATCATATCACGGGGCGACCATGGCTGGGCTAAGAGGGTTGTCTGGTAACAGCAGGGTCAACGGTTCGATCCTTGACTGGAACGTGTCCCTGAGCAAGACTGAACCCCTAACAGCTCCCCGGGCGCCTGTCATTGACAGCCCACTGCTCCCTATATACAGGGATGGGTCAAATGCAGAGACACATTTCCCCCTTAAAGGGATCAATATAGTATAATAAATTAAAAAATTTAATCTACGGGCTCACTTAATAGAAACAAGGCTGTGAAAGTTGAGGGGACGCAGGTGGAACGTCACAGTAGAGGTAGTAACAGTAGAGGTACTAACAGTAGAGGTA